CTTCTTCCCGCCACCCGTGCCCAACCCCTTCGTGCAGCAGACGCGGATCAGCGCGGCGAAGCGCGTGCAGGTGAGGGACCTGGGGCCTGGGGTCTGAGACTTGAGGACTCCTCCTGGAGGGGCCGGCTCAGAAGTGAGGATGCAGAGAAGGCTGGCCAGGAGGACCCTGAAGCGGGAGGCTGAGCCGACCAGGTGCAGACCTTCCTGAGACGGGAGGATGCACCTGACAGGTTCTGGCACTTTGGGAGCGTGGTGGGGCAGAACCGCCTCGGTGCGGTGAGTTTGGAGGAGTCTCTTTTTGCCTTGAGGAAAGAAAGAAGTGAGTCTGGGATGGGTACAGTGAGGGGGAAGGTAGAGAGCCCAGGTCTGGAACTAGAGTGACAGGTATGGCTGGAATGGTTTAGGTGAGCCGGGGCAAATAGGCTGGGAAATTCGAATTGCAGAAAAGAAATAACTGAGTTTAAGGTGTTCAAGTGTTTTTGTGATTTTTGAATCATCAGTCTTCACCCAAATACTTTTCATAGATTCAAGGGTGGAAGGGTAGACTGTCTCCCACTGTCAAAAATGGCTTTTCACTCTAAGGAAGTTTCCTTTCCTTTCCTTTGTCTCGTAAAGGGCTGCTTTTACCATTAGCAGTTACACTCACTCTAGACTTCCTCTTTGATGAAGTTAGTAATCGGGAGAAGGAGAGAGTGTCGGCTGACTGCTTTTGTCCTGTGTGGTCTGCAGGAAAAGGGAAAGAAAAGTTTTGATATTTTCCCGTCCATCTCACAAATTTTGTTATCTCGGATTAAAGTACTCCAATTTGTGCAGTCTTTTCATATCTTTTTTCCTTTGGTACCGGGGATTGAACTCGGGTCCCTGTGCTTGCAAGGAAGACAGCAGAACCACTGAGCTAAATCCCTGGCCCTGTGCGGTCTTTTTGTACCCAGCATTATTACTGTTGACCTCTACAGTGAGGGCAGGTGAAGTGTTGAGTTAAATAGCATGGGGTGGTGGCTTCAGTAGTGTAGATAGGGTGTCTGGTTGACTAGGTTTGAGACAGGAAGAGGAAGAAAGAGATGTAGAAATAACTCTTTGTAAAGCAACTAAAAGTTTAAAAAGTTGATCTTTGTATTCCTTAAATGGATAGATGTTCCTGTTATATCTATATCTTGACATGTCTCAAACATTTCTAAATATATTCACTATCATTCAAGATTAAATTTAGTCAAATTAGTTCTTTAAAGGCTATGTAATTGCATGTTTTAGTAAGTGCTATAAAGGAAAACCAGAAAATAACCCTGAGAGAAGTTCTCCCTAGAGATGACATATTACAAATGGAATTATGAAGACAAGTCCTCTTAATTTGTCAGTTACCTAAATATTGGTTTACTGTTAGATACTATTATTTGTTGCAAACTTTGTAGTTCACACAGGAATAAAAAAAGGCAGTATTTGACAACTTGTCCAATTAAAATCTGTATTGATTGTCCAGTGTGGATGTGAGTATGTGAATATAATTTAACCTCATTCCAGCTTTTCTTTCAGGGTCTGTGCTATGGTTCTTTCAGACAGTCAAGATTATTTGTTGGTTTTCCAGAAACCTGATCTATTAGAAGAGAACCTCAGCCAAAGATCTGCCAGTGACACGAGAGCTTTAGTCATCTCCTCTTGTCCACTGTACTACTCCTCAACTCTCCATCACAATCCGCCCCAAGTAAAGAGTGTATTTATCATGTACACAGAGCTTTAACAAAAATCTCCTGGATCCAAGATCCCATCTGTGTAATAGTTTTGGAATCCTGCATGTTTTACCTTATACATATTTTATTTGTTAAGAACCAGAAAAGTAAAGAGTATTTATCATGTACACAGAGCTTTAACAAAAATCTCCTGGATCCAAGATCCCATCTGTGTAATAGTTTTGGAATCCTGCATGTTTTACCTTATACATATTTTATTTGTTAAGAACCAGAGTTATAGCAAAGTTTCACTGTATTTATGTGAGATTTCAAGTGAAAAATATTTGGTCCCAGGAATAACGAAGTAGCTTAAGTCAGACAAATCTCCCCATACATAACAATTATAAACCTTGATCAAAATATATAAACCTATGTGAAGATATTCTGGAGAGAGAACAAAAAGAAACTGGAGATTTGTTCCTTGAAAGAACAGTTCTGTACTATAGGAAATTGTCTCTTATTTTTTTTTCCCTGAGAGTTCTCTTGTGGTAACATGGGTGGGAATTGCTAGAAAGCCTCATTCTTATTGGTCTGTTGTATCCTAGGTCAGAGTTCAGATCAGTCAGACTGGAAGGAAGTTGAAGGAGAAAGTCCCAGAATGTAGGAAGCTAGAGATAAAGAGGCCCCCAAACTGACATTTAAATTCTTCTCAAATCTTTGGCTGATTCCTGAACTCTGTATTTGCAAAGGAGTTGTCTTAGTCCCTTTCTTGTTGCTAAGACAAAATACCCAACACCCACAAGTTAAGGAGAAAAAATGTATTTTAGCTCACAGTTTGTAGAGATTTCAATCCATAGTTGGCCGGTCCCAAGGAAAGAGACCATGGCAGAGGAGAAATAGTTCCTGACATGGCAAGCATGAGGAAGGGAGCTTTTCCCTCCCTTTGTAGTCAATTCAGGCTACTAGGCTGACTTTTAGTTGGTAGGACCCACAACCAGAGTGGGCTTTCCCATTATCCACACCCAGAACTATGCTAAACCAGTTGTGAACTAGTCCAGTTACCACACACCCATAATCCATATTTACACACTCTAGATTCAGCCACCTGCCAAAAGCTCCACCTACAAGCACTGAAGACTTTGAGGGGACATCTAGAGACAAGGTAGGATCCTGGAGGAAAGCAACCACAGAAAGGATGAAGAAATAGAGTAGACGTTTCAACTGGTGACTACCACATAAGAGGCACAATTAGAATTACACCAAGCAAGAGGGTCTTAGTAGATTATCTCAGATTGTGTAATAAAACCTTACAAAAATGCCTTAGGAGAAAAGTTGTGTTTTGAGACTAGGGGAAAATTCCCAAAACATTTCCCTAGCGAAATGTGAAATCAGCCTCTAAAAAATGGAGATAATCAGCTAATATTTTACATACCTGCTAAGAAAAGAAAAGAAAAAAAAAAAAGCAATCTTCAGAGGAAGATCACACAATCCAAATATCTGCAGTGTATCAAAATGGTCAGTAGAGAAACAATACTAGAAATAGAAGAAATAGAAAAAAGTGACCTATTGTCAAGAGAAAAATAGGCCTAAATAAACTCTAAAAGTAGTTTTGTAGGCCGGGGATTTATCTCGGTGGTTCTGCTGCCTGCCTCACAAGCACAAGGTCCCAAGTTCGATCCCTGATACTAAAAAACAAAACAAAGAAACAAAAAGCAAAAAAAAATAGGTTTATAAAATTTCCCTAAAATGACCATATGTAGGAATTTATAGATAAACACTTCAAAGAAGCTATTTTAACAATCTTCAAGGATTTAAAGAAAAAGAATATCATAAAAAGTAAATAGCTGGAAGGAGCTTTGCAGAGAAATAGAAACTGTAAAGGAGAACAAAACGACATTTGAAAACTGAAAGGTATTCTATCTGAAATGAAAAATTCATTAAATGAACTAACAGGAAATGGCAAACTTGAAGATAGAATGCCAGAAATTGTTTAATCTGAAAAGCAGAATTTAAAAAGTCAACATCAGTAAAAGTGGCGAAGGAATAGCCTCTGAAAATTACTTTCTGTATAAAAGAAATGAGAACACTGGCAAGAATAAAAAAATGAAAGCAGAATTAACTTTTTCATAGTTCTGAAAAGTTTTCAGCAGAAAACTGAAAGAGGATTTATGCAAGAAATAATGCTGACTCTTGGGAAGAACAGTAATCTTTGTGGTAGTTTAACTTTTTCTCATTCATCCTCCTCAGTGTGTAATGTCTTTGGAAGTGAACAGCCTGCAGTCATGGTGAAAATGAGTCACGAGAAGGGGAAGAACAGAGTTGGGACTTGGAGGAGCCCCTTTCCCAGCAATGTCAGTGTTTTATCTGTCTGCTGGATGCCTGGAAGAGGGCTTTCTTTGCAAGGCTGTCATTATTTGATCTGCACTGGAGCTCAGCCTGTGCAGCTAGTTTTGTCTTAGGAGTCTTTGCAAATGTTTAACATTTGCTTAATGTGTTAATAGAATAGAATAGATTTGTAAAATTGATAAATCCCCACTGGGACAGATAAAATAGGAGAGAAAAATGCAAATGATCAGTATCAGGAACTAAAGAGCACATATCATTGCTGGTTATTTCTGGTTGTCCTCCCAAAACCTCATACACTCATAGATGGGGCTTTTGGAAGGCGATTGAATTATGGAGGCTGAGTAGCTGACTTGATCTTAGGAGGCTGGCCTGGTGGAAAAGACTCACTGGGCATGTCACCTGGAAGAGTGTCTCGCCCTCCCTGATTGCTCCCTGTTCTCCCTGCTTCTTGGTCTCCATGATGCGAGCAGCTTTTCCTCCACTTTCCCCCTCTGCCATGCTGTTCTGTCTTAGAGCCACTGGTTTAATGACTGAAGCAGGAGCCAAAATAATCCTCTCCTCCTTTAAATTGTGGATATTGAGTATTTCATCTTAGTGATGAGAGTGACTAAGATAATCCCTCAAGATCATAGATATAAGAACTCTTAAAAAATATAAGCAGATCATACACAGCGATATATGATATACCAGATATTGATGGTGTAGCATATCCAATTTGGGTTTAGTCTGGGAATATGCAAGATAGATTTCACATAAAAAAATTTCAATTTTATTGTACTTCACCTTGTTAGCCAAACATATAGTAAAAAGCATGATTATCTCACTAGAAACAGAAATTTAGTTATCTCACTTGACAAAATCCAGCACCTACTGATGATAAAAAATATTCTCAGAAAGATAAGAATAAAAGGAAACTCTAGAAATCTGATAAAGGGCATCTGGGAAGGACTACAGTTAATATAATGGCAAAGTATTAAATCTGTTTCCCCAAAGGTTGAGAACAAGATAAATACCTTGTGTACAACTTCTATTTAACATTATCTTAGGAGTTGGTGCAGTAATGTAAGAAAAAGAGAAAAAAAGACATGTAGTTTAGAGAGAAAAATATAACTTTTTTATTCACAGATGATATGATTATATATGAAGGACTTCCTAAGAAATCTACAAAACCACTAACTACTAGAACTAGTAAGTGAGGCATCTAGGTCATAGGATGTATGATCAAGACTTGAAATCAGTTTAATGTACATCTATATCCTTACAACAGACAATTACAAAATGAAGTTAAATAGATAATCTTCTGTAATAGCAATAAAATGATAGGAAATACTTAGAATTATTAACCAAAAACAGGCAAGACTACTACACTGGAAACAATGGAATATTGCTGTAAGAAACTAATAAAGACTTAAATAAGCGGATATACCATATTTATGAATCAGAAGAATTGATATTGTTAAAATGATATATCCTTCTAAGTTCATCTGTAGATTCATGGAAATCTTAATAAAATCATAACAGGTGTGTGTGTGTTTGTGTGTGTGAGTTGACAAATTAGTTCTAAAGTTTATGCAAAAATGCAGATGGTCTGGAGTAGACTCCCTCAAGTGTTGTATGTGAAAAAGAGAACACACACTATATGATTTCAACACTTACTTCAAAGCTACAGTATTGACAGAAGGAAAGAACAGATGAATGAATAGATAAATGGTTATTATGTAGATATTTACTTTTGAAAGACTCTCACCTATAAACATGTACATTGCCGTGTAAATCATATCTTAGTAGAATGAGGTTTTGTTTTGTTTTGCTTTTTTTGGTACTAGAGATGGAACGCAGGGCCTTTGTACTGAGCTAAACCCCAAGCCTCCTTTTTCAATTTTGAGACAAGTTCTTGCTAAATTTCCCAGGCTGGGCTCAGATTTGCTATCCTCCTACTTCAGACTCCAAGAGTGCTGGGGTTATAGAGATAATTTTTGAAAAAGACTACCATGCTCATCCTATTTCTATTGCTAGACACAATACCTGACACCCATAAGGAGGAGAGGGTTATTTGGTGCCCACTTTACAACAGGTTCATTTCAGAGTTGGCTGGCTCCAAGGCAGCAGAGGCATGGTGCAAGGGCATGGTGGAAGAAATTTGCTCAAAGGAAGCAGAGAGAAAAAGGAGGAGCCTGGGACAAGAATCCACCTTTCCATGCGGGCGTGGTGGTGCACTCCTGTAATCCCAGTACTTGGGAGGCTGAGGGAGGAGAATATCGCTGTGAGTTCGAGACCAGCCTGGGTACACAGTAAGTTCCAGAGCAGTCTGAACTACACAGTGAGACCCTCTCAAACACAAACAAACAAAAAAAGAATGCACCTTTCCAGATCACAGCATCAGTGACCCACCTCCAGCCAGGCCCCAGCTCCTAGCAACACAGTCAGCTACTGAGCTCATCGATGGATGAATCCACTGATGAGTATAGTGCTTCCGTGATCCAGTCACCTTCCAGACATGTGAGATTTTGGGGGGACATTTTCGATCTAAACCACAACAGCTACTAATGTTAATTGTTGGACAGAATGTACAGCAATTGAGTTCTAATACATTACCAGTGATACTTTACAGTTATACGACCACTCTGGGAAGCTAGTAGTTTCTTATAAGTTAAATAACATTTAAGACTTAGTGGTTCCATGTCTAGTATTTACTTAAAAGAAGTGAAAACCTTTATCTACAGAAAAGCTTGTATACGAATATTCATAGTGACTTTATTCACAATAACCTACAATTAGAAATAACAAGACTGCTCAACAGGAGAATCAATGAACAAATTGTACAGTTATGCAGTGGAATAATAGTATGAGCCAAAGTGAATTACTAACATATGAAACAAAATAACTGAAATAAGATCTATTAAGTGGAGGAAGCTAGAAACACAAAAATACATCATTTAGGCTTGCATTTATGAGACATTCAAGACTAGAAACGAGTAAGCTATGGTGATAGGAATCCAATACAAGTTGCCTACGAGCATAGACTTTGACTATAAGAGACGCAGAGGACTTTCTGAACTGGCAGATACATCTGGGCCTTGATTGCAGTGGTAGTTACATGAGTATACTGATCGAGGTTCATTGATCTGTACATTTCCTTGTTTGCAACTTTTACCTCAAATGTACATATGCATGCAAATAACCTAGCAGGACCATATAACTATTTTTGGCATTTTTTTAGAAAATATTTGATGATGTTCAGATTCATGTAAGGGCTAGAGAAACAGAAGGATAATACTGAGTAGTGTAATTGGAGAAAAGCCAGTATGTTATACATAAGGACAGTTTACTTCACTTAAAATGCTTATAAGAAAAAAGAGCAAATACATTATAACCAAACTGGGTTCCAATCCTGGTTCTGCCTGTATGACCTTATTAAGCAATTCAATTTTTCCCTCTATGCCACTTCATTCTTTTATGTAAAACAACTTAATGTTACAATTTAAGCTTGCGAGAACTAAGTCAGATACTTCATGCCAAATGCTTAGAATGTCCTGGACATAGAAAGTATTCATGTATTATTTGCTGTTCTTATATACTTTTATTATTATTTTTTTTTCCTTTTCCATCTCATTGTTACTAGTTACAAAACACTGGCCGGCTTACAAAGCCATGTGTTTTCACACTGTAAAGCCTTCATTCACTGTTTCTTCTAGCTATAGCTTTCAAAAAACAATTTGCCCCTCTTACTGTAGTAGTACCTACTTCTCTTGCAAGACCATTCAGGCTGCAGCCTTCCAGGAAGTTTTCTCTGGCTATTAAGTCAAACACACCTTTTCGCTGATATCCTAGCATCCCTTTATTCAGTTTCATTGGTATATAGAGCAGATTGTCTTGTGGGTTTCTTCGCTGTTTATTTTGCATGTAGTAGGCTTTGTGAGGTCAAATATTATGCCTAATTTTTCTTTGTGTTTGACTCTTGCTCTAGTACAGGGTAGTATTCAATTCATTCCTGACTAAATACACAAATAGCATGAAATGTTCCTGCTTGGTAGAGATATATTAAAATAATATCTGTTCATCTACTTTTAATCAATGTGACTTTCAGACTTTTCTTCTTGGAGTTATTCTGCTTCCACTCCGTGCTTTATTGGTTGGATTGATTATATTACTGGCGTGGCCGTTTGCAGCAGTTTCAACAGCATGCTGTCCTGAAAAGCTGACCCACCCGGTAACTGATTGGAGAAGGTAAGAAATAATTATGTCCAAATATTAGGTAAATAAAGAGCTTTAAAAGGTTTTATCAGATTTAGTTAGAGATCAGTTTCACCTGCTGCTACCTACTCAATTTTAATTATTTTTGTTTCCCTGTAAAACCGGTTCTAATTTATGTAGAAATGATTGCGCAAATACAATCTGATAATCTATTCTAGCTGTAATTTTGTAATTTCAAAAGATTATATATTATGAATTACTGCCCAAACATAGTATCCTCCTCATTCTGGAAGATAACTTTTTAGTACACCCGAAACCATTGCTGCAACAAAATGCTTTCTTTTCCTTTTTCTGTTTTTTCCTCCTAAATTAACAAAATGCTTTCTGCAGTGATATAATTAAGCAGATCAATTATATTTTTATTAATTACTTTAGTGGTTGTTATTAATAACAATTTAATTTTTTATCAGTATGGCCCAGCTTTTCCCAATGTTAACATCGAAGCCCAAAATGGCTTCCCGAGCATTACCCAATTAGGATGATGTAGAAACTCATTGCAAATGAACAAAGCTACTGACAAAAGTCATTCCTATTGGGCACGACCAAATTATTGCCATCGGTAGGTTTTGAAAGTGGGGTTTCTCAATCTGGACACTGTGGACTACACATATAGTCCAAATCCATAGATTTGTTCTAGGCCACTCATGAACGTCCTGAAATTGTCCATAGTAATTTTTTTTACACAGATTTGTGTTTCATCCAAATCTCACATGTAGGTCTGTCCTCCAAACTGTTTTTGAGAAATAGCATTCTAGAAACTTAAAGAAATATACAGTTTGCTTTTCAGTTCAAGTTCTAGTGAACAAATGTCAGTATCAGACACAAAGCTGGCTTGAAATGGAAATGAATCCAATACTGGAAATGCCCCAGAGAAACCTCAGTCCATGCAAATCATACTTCTTTGCATTATAGCTCAAGGTTATGCAGTATAAGGAAAATACTTCAAGGGATGTTTTTCATGATTTCCCATTTTCCTTTAGATTATCTCTTTGGTATTAGTATTAGTGGCTTATGAAAAGTTGGGATGGTGGGAGGAATAGCCCATATATATATATATAATATTTCTCTCTATATATATTTCTATACATATTTCCATATATATTTCTCTCTCTCTCTCTCTCTCTCTCTCTATATATATATATATAGAGAGAGAGAGATTAGGATGAGATTATATATA